CCATCTGTCTTAAGTTTTTTTTTTTTTTTTTTTTTTTTTTTTTTTTTTTTTTTCAAAAAGTATGTTAATTGGTACCACTGTTTTGACTACTTTTAGATTTTAGTACATGAAATTCAATATTTCGGGTTTAATTTCCCCATTTTTCTATTTTGGAGGAATATTCGCTTTATTTTTATTGCGTTATAAGCTTTTTTTAACTACATTTATCATATTTCACTGGATTTCATGAGCTTTCATATGATTACATGTGTGTGCATTTATCTATTTACCTGTGTGTGTATCTGTGTGTATTGATTCGTTAATAATGGTTATAAAAAGATGTTTCTTAACAAACAGGTAGCTTTTATTAAGGTGCAAATACCTAATAAGATACTAGAAAGAGCACAAAAGGGAGAGTTACAAGGGTGGAAGAACAAGGGAGATTGATCCTCAAAGGCCCAAAGAGACAGTAAAGTACGAGCTATTTTCCTCTATTTAACTATGTTTGTATGATATCTGTATGAGTATATATATGGGACTACGTCAGAAAAACTGTGTATGTGGTCTAAAAGTTGACCGTGTGAAAAACTCAGAAAATTAACAACATTTTATAAGTATTCAATCACACACCCATTTGATTTATTAATTAAAGATTTTTTATTGGGTTGCTTTGTTTCTGCAGTAGATGATTGCTCATAAGAAATTGTTTCCAAGATGTATAAAACTGTTTCACAATTTTAATTCAGATTTGATAAAAAAAATGGTTCCAATATTGGTCTATTTGTTGATCAGTTGGCAAAAACATTTAGAGCCATGCTCCGTAAGATATTTTTGGTTGAAATCAATTAATTTTTGGTAAGTTATGTGTGGAATTTATAGGTTCAAGCACCGATATCAATTTTTGGAATGTACTCGGTGAACCTACAGCAACCATTGGAGGGATGTATCAATTGCAAAATTGAAGGCAATTCGTGATATTTGGAGATCTTCAGCAGAAAGATTTGGTGATCGGGTTGCATTGGTTGATGCACATCATGACCTACCTACAAATATGACATACAACCAGGTCTTCCCTTTTAATCTTTAAAAATTAAAAATTCTCATGCATTTAGCTGGCAGGAAATGAAATGTAATTCAATAATAAAAACTCCAATCAATTTAATTTGAACCTTATTTGCAGCTAGAGGAGGATATTTTGAATTTCGAGGAAGGTTTAAGAGTTATTGGAATCAAACCATGTGAAAAAGTTCTACTCTTTGCTGACAATTCATGCAGATGGCTTGTTGCTGATCAAGGTAAATACATTGAATTCATGAGACTACAAACAATACATATGATTATGTTTAATTTTAATTTAAATTTATATAGTAAAAGTAACAAGTTTGGGTGTAGGTATTATGGCTACAGGAGCAATAAACATTGTGAGAGGGTCTAGATCATCTATAGAAGAGCTCTTACACATCTACACTCATTCTGAAAGGTTAGCATAAAAGTTAAATTACTTCAACTTCAAAACTAAAAGAAAATTTATAAAAGTATAAATAGACTCAAATCTCCCCATGTCAATAATTTGCATTCTTTGGATAACAGTGTCGCACTTGCTGTGGATAATCCTGAATTCTATCACCGAATTGCAACGAGATTTAATTCAAAGGCATCTGTTAGATAGAATGTAAAGTTTCAGGGTGTTACCAATTCCGGCGGAATTGGAATCCGAGATTCCATTCTATATATGCGGCAAATATACTTCTCTGCTTGCTATGTACTAACAATGACAACCGATCAGATCATTAAATTACAATCCGAATGAATCTTTACCCAGGAAAGTAAGCTTCTTATTGCCAAAAATATGTTCCTGTGCTCCAAACAAAACCCAGTACACCCAACTATTAAATGACTTTTTTTCATCATCTCATATGCAGTTATGGTTATGATCCTTTTGGACTTGGCATAAACCAGAAGACTTTGCCAAGTAAGTTCGCACTGATCAGTTACTCAAGATAATACACTATAGTTTATACATTCATACAGAGTTGAGTTGAGTTGAGCGAGTCAACTCAGGGAAAATCAATTATATACATAATTTTCCGTACAATGAGTCAATCATGATTAACCAACTGAAATTAAATTTCTATTTATATAATATGTTCTTGTAGACTGATTTTGGACGAGAAGTACCTATATTCAAGATCGATGAAACAGCTTTGGAGCCTGAATTTCAAAAGTTATATTCCTATCTGTTTTACTTTGAGAATATAGAATATCCTGCTGAAGAGATTGACATAACAATGCCAACTGCAATTTTTATTGTGAATTTTGATAAGGTATGATGTAACTCCTTGACCTTTCATTGATTGTTATCCACTATTTAGCTACCATAATAATGGACGACTCATAATTCTTTTTGGAACAAATACCATGTCTTTAAACTATGATATGAATCATGAATGTACATTATTTTATGAAAGAGGTGTCTTGGCTAGAAGATTAACCCCCTAGGAGAAGGAAACACATTAGTTGGGAACTTGTCATTATCTGTGTCCTTTGTCACTATCTTTATTTTTATTTATTTTTGTTGATCTGACCTATTTTATGTTGCTTGGTTCTTCTTTTACAGGTTAGAATGCATCCTAGGAATGTTCATACATTTTGTTGTAAAGTAACTAGTCGTAAGTATGTCGTTTGTTTAGAAAATAAAGAGGATAGTAAGAAGAGTTGTTTCCTATAGGGAAGTATATCCCCCACCTGTAACACCCATAAAATTTGAGCCAATTTAAAACTTTTTAAATCATTTAAAACCATTCATTTATTACAATTAGTTTTCAAAATAGTTTAAATATCAGAGTTCCCAGAAATCATATTCATCAATCGAGGAAGTGTACGGTCACGCATTCGCCTTCCCGCGGTCATCCGATGTACCTGAAACAATAATCGATAAATGTAAGCTTGAAGGCTTAGTAAGTTAGCCCCAAAATAACCATACACACAACAATACACATATAATAACAAACAACATACTATGGGTCCAATCATCCGTCGGGATGGAATACCCCAGACCCCTCAACCATCGGGTTGGAATGCCAACATATTATGGGTCCAATCAACCATCGGGTTGGAATACCCAGGCCCCTCAACCATTGGGTTGGAATGCCAACGTACTACGAGTCCAATCATCCTCGGGATGGAATACTCTCGGCCCACAACCATCGGGTTGGAATGCCCACACACTACACACATAGCACAGATACTATGGGTCTACTCATCCATCGGGATGGAATACCCCAGGTCCCTCAACCATCGGGTTGGAATGCCCACATACTATGAGACCAATCATCCTTGGGATGGAATACTCACGGCCCGCAACAAATCAAACATATGCACCTATATCAGATAATCATGTAACATACTATTGAGATAACATACTAGGGTCCTATCATCCTCGAGATGGAATACCCTCAACTACCAATCAATCATATGCACACATAACAGGTAATATCCTATCTCCTACCAGCATACAGACAGTCAGACCAACTATTGGTCTCTAAGAATGACCACATCCTCTCTACCAGGATACCGATCTGTCATACCATACCAACATATAACCATCCTGTCTACCACAATACCGACCTAACAGATCATACCAACATACAACCATCCTATCTACCAGGATACAGATCTAACATATCATAACAATATCGATTCCAAATACAAATCAAAGGGCCAGCCTTGGTGCCTTAGACCCTTGAGTACAGTGAGGATAACTCACCTCGCAAGTAGCTCGGAAGGTAGTGTCAAACTCTTCCAAATGTAGCTCCAACTCCAACACCTATATTCACCAATGTCCTTTACTATCAATATTCAATTTACCAAAATACCCTCAGAAGTCAACTGGTCAACCCTTGGTCAAGGTCAAAGTCAACTATCAAGGTCAACAGTTCATCTTGACCTCAACTCGTCGAGTACTCTCAGCTACTCGCCGAGTTCCTGACATAACTCGCCAACTCACCGAGTCACTTGAGTGACTCGTCGAGTTTCTAGTGTCAATGGCCGTAAACTCCTTGGCCAAGTCGTCGAGTTTTCCCCTTACAACTCGCCGCGTTCATACGTGTCCAAAGGTTGGGAAAACCCTAGCCGACTCGCCGAGTCACTCATCTGACTCGCCGAGCCCAAGGCATTCTTCATCGGACTCGCCGAGTTGTTCATCCAACTCGTCGAGTTCATGACCATCTTCATATGACTCGCCGAGTCGACCATGCGACTCACCGAGTCCCTTCAATCCTTCAACCATACAGATGCTTTTTAGGTCATGCAAAGACTCCATACTGCAGATCTGAGTTCCTAGGGCATGTTTATCACGTAAAGTTGCAAACTTTACGTGCATGCAAGGTGATAATGTCCCAAAACAAGCTAAAGGAGTGGCTTAAGGTAAGGGAAAGGCCATAGCTCAACAAAGACTGGAACTTTATGACAAAGAGGGGCTAAAGGAGACCAGATCTAAGATTGCAACCTCAGATCATGACCCAAATTGGAGAACCACCACAAAAACCCTAAAATCCCAACCCATAATGAGGAGATCTAACTAAGAGAGAGCCAAGGTAACAACTTGTTACCTCCAAAATGATGCCAAGACAGAGAAGAATTCGGATCTACAACAGCCCCTTGCTCCAAACTTCTTGAACTCCAAGCTTTTTACTCTAAAGATCCCTCTTCCAAGCTAAGGAGCACACAATTATAAAGAGCAACCAAGAATTAGGGTTTCTGAATTCAAGGGAGGCAATAAGAGAGGCTAAACGGAATAAGTGGTCCTTAAATAGGGTGCAAATCCTCAGAATTTAGGGTTTCATCTGCCAGCTCCTACTCGTCGAGTCCCTTCTTCGACTCGGCGAGTAGGTTACTTAAACTCACGGACCAACCCGCTGCTACTCGGCGAGTCAAGCCACCAACTCGTTGAGTAGACCTTAAAACCATGAGAATTTATAATTATAAATTGATACTCGGTAATCGGGGCATTACAATTCTCCTCCAATTAAACTAGACTTCGTCCTCGAAGTCTGCTGTGGTGAACAACCTTGGATAGTGCTCCCGCATCCTTGCCTCCGGCTCCCACGTCCATTCGGATCCCCTCCGATGCTCTCACTGTACCTTCACCAAAGGTATCTCCTTGTTCCGTAGAATATTCACCTTCCTCTCTAGTATGGCCACGGGCCTCTCAACATAGTTCAGGCGCTCCTCGACCTGTATGTCATCCAAGGATACCACCACCTCCTGGTCCATAACGCACTTTCGCAACTGCGAAGCGTGGAAAGTGTTGTGAATCTGATTAAGCTCCTCCGGAAGCTCTAGCCTATACGCCACCTCGCCAACCTGACAAAATCCTGATGATCCAAAGTACCGGATACCCAACTTTCCCTTTTTCCTGAAACGAACCCCTTTGTGCGGACAGAATAAATGCGTCCTTCAGCTCCCAAAATATCATACATAATCAATCCACTAATAATCATGAACACGCATGTCTGGCCCAATCAGCCTCGACTGGAATATCAGGCATACCTACGACGGGTCCGGTCATCCCACAGATGGAATACCCTCGTATCACACATATGTTTGGCCCAATCAACCCTCAGGTTGGAATACCAAACATGTCAGGTCCAGTCAATCATATGGTCCGATCATCCCTAGGATAGAATACCCTAGATTGGAATACCACTGAATACATAACCCGGGTCTAAACTCATAACTTAAGATCCAGGGATCTATCCTTACGTCTCATCCAAAATCCTCTGATTCGTCACAACTGAGTGCAACTCCCCCGAATCTCACAACACATCCAATCCGAGTGCGCTCCTACCAGAGACATAACCAACACAATCCCTACGCCCACATCCTATGACTGGAATACCCTTACTCAGTCCTCACCATAGGTCTTGATTACCTCTGAGCCCACAGCATGAGTCTGGTATGCCCTCTCCGACCCTCAACTCATGACTGGAGTGCTCCCGATAACCTATCAACATCGCTTTCGTCGCTACGGATGTCCAACTCTCCATCATTGTCACAACTGGCATTTTAGCTAGGAAATTCTATTCCTGTGTAACCATTCAACTATTGTAAAACTTATATTCTAAGTAAATCTCACTCAATGCACATTTAGATTCACCATTCATGTTCATCAAAGAGTCTGAAGCCCTAAGATCCATGGTTTAAGTCCATATTGGTCTAGGAGTTCCTTATTAGGCCTAATGGACCAATAAGCACCCATTTCAACTTTATTGGACTTAGAGGCCCTAATTGGATCCTAATCGGACCCAATTCATAAATCTAAAACAATTTGGACCATTTGGGTCTAGAATGATTCATTCTAACCCTAATGGGCCTTATTGGGCCATAACTAATCCAATTAACCTTAGTAAGCCATAAACCCATTCTTTTATTCTAATTGGGCCGTGAATGCTTCCAAGAGCCCAATGGGCCGAAAAACCTTATGTTTAGGATCCAAAAATCCTAGCTAAAGTTAATGGGCCCAATCTACTCCATCATTTCTTCTTGGCCTAAAATCTCGGCCCATGTATAAAACAAAAAAAAAAGAGAAAAGAAAAGATTAAGGGGGGTTGACTTTGGGAGGTGCCACCTCATTTTTGTTTAGAGGATAACTAGGCAATTATTCAT